TCTGACCATCAAATCACACAAATCACAGAGAACCTGGCACAGAACTGGCTCCTCTCTCCCCTCCCTACTACTCATGATGGTTATTGAGGCAAACAAGCCGTCTGCTCTGCAGGTCGCACTCTTCATAACTCTAAGATTTTTAAATCTTTGCCATGCTTTTGTGGCCTTCTGCCACTTCTTGCTGCTGTCATGTGGTTCTTCAGATTCTAACAAGTTGGTGCAGTTTACCCATGATTTTTTCGACTGATGGCTACTAATGCCTCAGCCTTCCTCTCTAGGAGAAGCTGTACAGGTTGGGACATATGATTGTAGAGGATGTAGTAGCAATAATACACATTTATTGGCACCTTTTGAACACTTAACCTGTTCCTTCTTCATAGCCTGTCACTATCCCAAACCAAGTAGTACTAAGCTACTGTCTCCACTACCACAAACCCCTCTCAGATTTTCTGTTTAGTGACGCTGGACTAGGACTGTATAATAAGGTCTGCCTTGCTGACTGCTCTGCTGAGTTCTTCCAAAAGGGCGTCTAGAAGGAGACTGCAAGGCTAGTGAAGTAAAACAAAACACAGTCCCTGACCCTATCAGCATCACTGTCCACCCCAGCAGGGTTCTGAGAGTAGTAATCCGTTCCAGTTTGCAGTCTTTCCAGCATTTACACAATTAACCTCACTGTCCCTATTAGCATTAGTAGTCAGGCAGTGTGCCCTGCTCAGGAGTCCAGGTCCCAGCATACCTTAATCTGCTATTTCTGTTATTTATTGGTGGATATTGATAGTACAGAGTAATGGAATTTGTGATGGCTTATCAGTTTGTGTATATAATGTATTTTGATTCTTTTCACCACTGTTAATGCCGCCTTCTTTTTTTCCCTCTCCCCATAAGGTACCTCCTAGATTTTGAACACCAATCTCTCTTTTATTACCAAACCTTTATGATAGAACCTGTTCCCTGCAAATTGATCTTCTATTGTAAATTTGCATTCTTTTCTTTCCTCCTCCTCCTTCTCCTCTTCTTCCTCTTTTCTCTCTCTCTTTTTTGCCATTTTGTTTTCTTAATCAACAATTCTTGTACCTAATCAGAAATTTTTGCATGAAAATACATCATTCAAATGACTAGTGTGACTGGTCAACCTTGCAAGATGCTGGCTGGAAAATCCTTATTGCAAGTCCTTCTCCAAAGAAAGGCCCAGGACTCATCTCCCAAGTACAGTGCATATCACGGAGTACACTACAGCTCTGTTTGCTGGGCTTGTGTCTGGTTTTAGCACTGCAAGTTCCACATCTCAGAAACACTGTAAGCCAGAAAAACCAGAGAGTTGATCACCAGCCTTATGTCCCATGTATTGCCAATCAAATACATCTGAAAATATGCAGTAGAGAGCAAATCAGAGAGTTAATTTTCACCCTTGGATTAGAAATAAGTTTTAAAGAAAAATTGACTTGCGCTAGTGATCAACAATTACATATGGCTCCTGAAATTTGGTAAGCATGGGCTGAATATCCCTAATCCAAAACTTCCTAATCTGAAACTCTCCAGACTATGAAATATTTTGGCAATCATATCAACCCTCAAAAAGTTTTAGATGTCAGAGCATTTTGGAAGTTTGGGGTTTTGATTTAAGTATACTCAACCAATAAAATCTATGTAAATATTTCAAAATCTGAGATTCTAAAATCCTAAACAAACCTTTAAGATTAAAACAAAAACCTGAATATTAGATCTGTGATACAGGATTCTGGAGATTTAAACTCATGTTTTGTGCTGGATTTATAACTCCAATATGACTCTATTAGTTGGCTAGGGCTCCTGTTTCAAAAATACCACAGACTGGGTGATTTAAGCAACAAAAATTTGTTTTCTCAGAGTTCTGAATACTGGAACAGTGGGTACCTGGGAGGCCTACCTTCTGGGCAATTGTATTATTGCTGTGTCCTCCTATGACGGGGTGAGCAGGCAGAGAACCAATCCCATTAGTTGGAGACCTACCCTTGTGACCTCAGTTAGTATTATCACTATTATCCTTTAACGGTAATGGTTCTTTAAAGGATCTCTCTGAAAATACAGTCATGTTGGGGCTCAGGACTTCAGCATAAGAGTTTTTAGGTTACAACTCAGTCCCTAAAATGATCAAGCATGAATGGGAATGGTGGTGTAGAAGTGTTACCCAAAATCACTGGAATCTGCTTTTAAATTAATGCATAGTAAATGAGTAATAAGAAATCCTATTTTCAAACATCCGTTAGGTCTATTAGCTTCGGCATATTGGACATATATATCATCCCAATTGCATGTCAAATAATTTTCTTTGTAGAGATTAGTGTGGGGCTTATGTCACTGAATCATGAGTTCACATCACTTACCTGGAAGAGAGATACAATTTTCCAAAGATAGAACATGAAGTGCTTTTCATACCTTTTTGTAGGTCAGAAGTAAATCTTAATGGCACCATGTAGTTTACAATCCTCATACCAGGTATTCAAAGTAAATAGCATGGACTGGCCTACTCTGGCTATGAATTTCTATCTTGAACAGTTCCTGAAATGACTGAAAAGTACGGCTGTCTATTGTGGAAAATACATTATTATGATTATAGCCCTACTTAAGGTGTCATTATGTGGTATTTTGTCCATGTGTGGCATCTCATTAATTAATTCTTTCTGAGTTTTCAAACAGGTGCCAACGGATAGCACCAGCAGTACTTACTACATATGAAGTGGGGATAATTCTCCTCCCTGCTGGTTTCATGATGCTTGAAATGACAGTGAGGACATGCTAAAAGCTTTGGTGGATTTGAATTCAAGAAATTTGAAAGGTGCATATTTTACAAAGGAAAAATATAATTAAATTGCATCTCTGGAAAAGCGGGACAAAGAATGGTGGCTAAATCTGATTAATCTTGTTTTTCTTAGTGTTTAGGTTTTTTTCCTCTTTTCACTGAGAAATTTCCATGACAAAAAGACAGTCAGTCTCCCCAGGACAGAATGATCCCTCAGAGACCCGGGAAGGAATGAATATGCTCTTAACATTGGTGCTGCCTCCCGGGCATCACCACACAGGCAGGTGGTGATTGTGATGCCCAGTGGGTTACCAAGAGAAAGTTCGGACAGCATAAATGTCACCAATCTCATAGATGTTGTCTTTATAGCAATGCTTACAACCCAAGGATCAGAATTTACAGTTGAACAATTGACTTACCTTAAAATGAGTAAAACTTTCAGTCACCAAATATTAACTCAGATAAGGCACCCAGCCATCACTGGGTAAGAGGGGCCTTCAAGAGCCAATTCGTGTAGTGTAATTTATTCATCTTCCCAGGGAAAATAAATTACCTGGGTTCTCTCCTTTTGTAAGTTATTTGATTTCATAAACCAGAAAATCATTTCTTGCATATTTTTAGATGTACATTTGGAAATAGAGTCTTCCCCCCAATAAGGTTAAGCATGCTGCTTCCTGGGACCCAAACTTGTCACTTGTCATGATATGTGCAGCATTCTGTTGCTGGCATTCCCAAAAAGTGACACTTTGTGTGGAAAAAGTAATAGAAAAAGAAATCCTAGTCAAGGAACCCTTCAACATTTTATGGTACATCTCCACGTCACAGAAATGCAAAATTTTCTATGAAATGTCAAAAAACTACCTCAAAGGCCAATAGTGATAATCACCAGCATCACCGAGCATATGCTTTGCTGAACCAAATTAGAATATCCTCATAATAGCTCTTAAAGAAGTTTTATTTTCCCATGTAAAGAAGGCAACTGGTAAACATTCACACAGTAAATTTTACTAGTACAAAAACTTGTAAATAATCAGATTTTAATCCCAAATCTTTGTGACTCCAAAATTTTATTTTTTAATTTCACAGCCTTCCGTCCCCAACACATGTTTTTTCAAGGCACACAACTGAACTGCAAAGGGAGAGGAAAAAGAAAGCAAAGTTTCCCAGATTTGAGTCAAAACATTTAGGTGTACACTCAAGACAGAGCTTGCATTTATTTTCTGACCTATTTGGGTAAAGGTAACCAATAAACTTTATCATGAGAAAAACCAATAAATTTTATTGTAATTAATATTGTTACTTTTGCGATCCAGTCAAGCTACCAGTTCAGTTTGGTTGAGATTAAAATAATTTAAAAACCATGCATGGTTATACTGATAAGCTTTTATTTCTACTGAACTTCAAACCAAGTGAATGTTATCAACCAAGAAACTTCGGGGAACATTTCCTTAATCTTTATTAATTATTCTGTTTTCCAAGCAAATATCAAAATTCTTATCCAGAACAAGCACTTTCCACAGAAATAAGTTTTACTCTGAGGCGTCTTTCATGTATAGTAACAGATGTTTCACCTGATAATGTTTGGCAAAACTTTTCATCTTTAATCTGCAGGTTTAAATTTTGCCACCCTGTCTTTAATCATCACTTAACTTCTGTTCTTACAGTTTCATTTAATCTGCAGTTCAGAATGGAGTTCTGAAATACTGCAAATATTCCCTGGTGTAAATGTGCTTGTCTAAAAAAAAAAAAGGAAGAAGAGTAAACAACACCTCATACACTTCAAACACTGAAATTATTCTGAAGTACCTATTTGTTTTACAACCCTGGAAAAACATCTTTCTCTGACTTGTTAACAATAGATTTTTTTCCCCAGTCCTCATTTATTCAATAATTTCCAATCAATAGTGGTTAAAAGAAATGGGATGGTGACTCTTTTTTCACTAGACAACAATAGACATTTACTGAGTTCACCAGCATTCTATAAAGCATCTGAGATGAGATTTGTGCAGCAATGGGGGACAGGGTGGGTAAGAAATACGTCTGCATCTCTGTTCATATATGCAGACACATGTGCACCCATGTATAAATAGCAATAGATTGCAATTTGAGATTGTAATAGAAATGCTCAAATACTTCCATAACTTTGCTTTAAAAATAACTATTCACTCTTTGGAAGTGTTCTCTCTGAAACAGTAAACGGAGGGTAGAAGTGCCCACCTACCGTGTCTACTGATACCCACTGTATGCCACCATCCCATGGCCATTGACGGCACAGTGTTCTTAGGTCATTTTCTCCTTTTGTGGTTCTGCAACGCTCAGGCTGTGTATCAGAAGTGGAGCATATGAATATTCCTGAAAAAGTGAAATCATTTTAGTGTCAGTCCTGTGACGAGAGACAAGTCTTCAAAAGCATGAGGATGGGAAAGCAAACCAGCCGTGGTTAGGACAGTGAAGTGACTCACTGGAGAGGTAGCAATCAAAGCAAAATTTCTTCCTATAAAATATGCCAGCAGCCAGCATAAGAAAGATCTTGGAAATAAGTGATTTCCCTGGGGACTGATGCTGGCATATGGGGCCCATAATCCTGAGGGGCCAATTACATGTATTTTGTAAATGAATGTGTTTGCTTTATTCTTTCTCTTGACAGGGAACTGGAAAAAAATGCATCTTTCAGGTAATGTGTAAGATATTTGCACAAGCATTATACAAGACATTTACCTGACATTTATATCTCTCTCTACACTTGGGAAGAATTTTAAGGTAAAGGCCAGCCACACTGGGGAAAGGATATTTTGAGAATAATCCCAGGAAGAGGATTTCCTGGGACCCAGTGCAAAGGAGAGGGCTGGTTGTTTTTCTCCCTGCTGGTTCTCTTTCTTTAGATAACCTGGGAGCCTGTTTTGTTTTTATTGAGAAAGGGGGCATTTCATGGAAGCCCAGGGGCAGCAAAAAAAGAAAAAGCATAGTCAACGTGGATTGAGAAATTTAAAGGAAGCAGTAATCCATGCGCTGAGTCTTGGAAGAGGTATTTAGGTCTGTTTTCTCTCACAGTAACGGAGTTCTATAGACCTGGAAATTTAAAATTTGTTATCTCACCACATAGGAAGCTGCTTATGGTGTGGAGCTTCCTGCCTCTTCCTCATGAAGTGAACAGCATCACATGGGAAAGACCTTGGAGATGGAGAGGAGAGCAGGAAAAAGAGGACACACATGAACACTTTTGTAAGAAAGCCACTCCACGCATCAGTCCATCCCTCCAGTGAAGGCATTGATCTCTTCAGGAAGGTAGAGCCCCGACAACCCACACATCTATAAAGGTTCCACCACCCAATACAATCAGCATGGGGATTAAATTCCAATATTAGTTTGGCAGGGGAGTTTTAAACCATTGCAATGTACAAGGGTGTGGACAGGCAATGAGAGGAAAAAGGGGAGGATCCTGTGAAGAGAGATTCTGGGAGTACAGGAAAGGCCAGAGGGGTACACCCTGCCTGCTCCTAAAAGAACATGAACTGTCTGCAGTGGAATTTAAGGAGGAACCAGACAAAAGCTGTGGATTTTTGTTAAGGAGATGTGAGGTGCCTAGCGTCTTTTCCTTCAACAGTGAAACAATGTGATGATCTTCACTCATGAAGAGGGTAGAGAAGGGTTGAGAGAGAAAGACAGCATGGCTATGATACTGAATGTTCTCAGGGAACACACAGGAGCAATTGCTTTTTGGATGCCCAAAAGGAGATATGGAAATGTGGTGGGAAAGGCATAAACCGGAGACATCCATAGAAAAAAAATACTAAAATGTACAAATAGACTTTATATTAGAAAAATAGAAATAAATGGTGGTAACTTTGACCAAAAACTATGAGTAGTTTGCTAAGGCCAAAGTCATCAATACTTTTCTGTTACTGAGATAACTATCCAGTATCCACAATGTATAGGAGAAGCGGTTACTTAACTCATGGACTCCAGTGGGTTCAGTCAAGGCTGGCTCCAACTCAGAGACAGCATGGTGCAAGGGCATGGTAGAGGAAAGCTGTTCACCACAGGTGGCAAAGAATCAGGGTTGCAGGGAGAGAAGCAGGAGCAGGAATATACCCTTGCAATCATGCGCCCCAGGGGCTCACCCCTCAACCAGGATCCGTCTCCAACCACAAGAATTTTTGGAACATTTTAAACTGAAACCATATGTATTTTAGTTTCCTAGGATTGGCATGGCAGAGCATCATACACAGGGTAATTTAAACAAAAGAAATTTACTTTTTGAGATGGAAGTACCAGAAAGTTAGTTCCTTCTGAAGTTTCTGTCACTGGCCTTAGGTGACACCTTTTCTGAGTGCCATCATATGGCTCTCCTCTGATCTAAATCTCCTATTTCTTTTTTTTTTTTTTTTTTTTTTTTTTTATTTAAGAGGAAAAAGAGAAAAACACAAAACAAAACAAAGCAGTGTAAGGTTACATATAATACAGAACTACAAAAAAAGCATAACAGTAAGAAATCACCTGTTAATAGATTACATATTATCATCTTGGAAATAGTTGCTCAAATCACAGTATCAAAGAATACAAAGTAGACATTCAAACAGAGAGACTACAAACAGCTGTGTTCAATGATCCAAAAACATTAATATAGTCAGCTATTCAACATCCCTATACACACTTGCTGTTATATCCGTTAGAGCTCTTTTTTCCCCTTCCTCTCTTTTTACAACAAAATTTACACATTTTAGATTTTATTACTCCTTAGTTCTTATTACTTTTTTGGGGGGGAGAATAAAGTCAAATATGGCAGAACAAAGCTGTCAGTGAAAACCAAGGATAGACTTAGCACATGATGTAGAACAGAGTATACGGTTATTAACAATAGTTATCAACGTTGTCTCTTGTTTCCTTAAAAAGATTTGTCTATCTCATTAGATATTATAAAGTTGGACAAAACAGCAGAGAACAAGACCAATAAAACTTAGACATTGTAAACATTACAGGACTTCCAAAGGAGACAATAGTCAAACCAGAATGGGCATCTTAGTGAATCTTACTGCCTTCAAAGTAGTTGCCTATACCCTCGGACCTGATACTATCCCACAGAATGGAACAGAGTCTAATCAGTCAAAACAAGATCGTGGGAGCATTACAGGACTTCAAAACAAGTTAATAGGAAATCGAAAAGAGTTACTATTATATATCCTAATTTTTTAAATTTTTCCCTTAATTAAAATAAACATAAGAAATAACTAAATAATTTTTTTAAAGAATAATAGTTACCATAGTGTCTGTCTTTTTCCTTGAGATATTTGGATAAAACTTCATATACTATAGCTTCAAATATTTCCATATCAAGAAGCCCGGAATAAAGCCTTTCTAATTAATAAGTGAAAATTTTATAAGGCTTCAAGGCCACATAATGGGGAATCATGATTGCCACATATTTTCATATATTTGAATCATTACTTACATTAGGGAAACTATTCGGTATTCACACATGCGAGATTGATTTATTTCACTTATGAGTATGGTCTCAAGCTGCGCCCATTTATTGATAAATATCTCAATGTGATCCTTCTTTATAGCTGAATAATATTCCATTGTATAGAAATACCACAACTTTTTTATCCATTCCTCAGTTGATGGACACTTGGGTTGTTTCCAAGATCTCCTATTTCAAGGATGGCTGCAATTGTGGGTTAGGACCCTCCCTGGTGACTTCCAATGACCACTTTATAGACTCAATTTTCAAACCTTGTCACATCCTGAGATACTGGAGCTTGGGACTTCAGCATATGAATTTAGTGGAATACTGGGCCCCTAAAGTGGAGAAACATTGGTACAGGGAGAAAGAAGTGTTGAGCAAGTTGTATTAGAGGGATGTCAAAGCCAACATCCTGCAAGTTCTGCTACCACAATCTGTCAGTAGTGTCACGATGGTCAGTCTCAATGATTCACTTGCTTTAGGAACTGTCAGTGCACTCCAGTGTGGAGATCTCAAGAAACTGAAATATTGTGGATTCTCCATTCCAGAGAGGGTCCTGATTTGCCACAGTATCCTGCTACCTTTTTGTTCCAGAATATCTCACAGTGGAGTTGTGGTGTATTAGGCCCTCTAAACTCTTCAATTATAGGGTTTCTTCACCAAATAAATTTGGGGGACCTTGGATTATATGACATCCTTACTGAAGAATCTTAGTACATTTTGTCAAAGACACTTAGAAGCTTGTAGCAGTCGACACCACTGTTAGACTGCTTCATCTGAATTCTTACTGTGATTTGACCATGGGGCCGTATTTCTCACAAGGTAATTACTAACATCTTACAGAATAGATTTCAGTGAAAAGTTGTTCTGAGACTATTTTGAAAGTAATTTTCTAGCCTCAAATTTACAAATCAACCTCATGATAAAGATTTTTTTGCATCTTTTTTTATTTGAAGAGGAAAAAAGCAAAAAAAAACAGTAAAAGGGTAGAAGTAATACAGAGTTTCAAAAAAATAAATGGAAATCATTAGTTAATAAATTGCATATTGTCATCTTAGAAATAGTTGATCAAGTTACAAAATTAAACATACAGACATTCAAACAGTGAAACTGCAAACAGTTGTGTTCAATGATCCAACAAAAACTTAGTAATATGGTCATCTATCTTATATACCTAAACACACTTGCAGTTGTGTCCTTTACAGCACTTTCTTTTCCTCTCTTTTTTACAATAAAATTTAAAATTTGGGCTTTTATTACTCCCACAGTTCTTATTACTTTTTTTTTTGGAAGAGAATAAAACCAAATGTGACAAAACAAAGCAGAGTCGGTCAAAACAAAGGATGGACATAGTACATGATGTAAAAACACAATACCAGGTAATCAACAATGGTTACCATAATGCCCCTTGCTACCTTAAAAAGAATTGCCTATATCGTCAGGTATAATAAAATTGAATCTAACAGTACAGAACAAAACCAATAAAACCTAAACATTGAAAGACAAATTGGGTAAAAACCTTGAAGACATAGGGGTAGGTAGAGAATTCGTGAACAGGACTCAAACTGCACAGGAAATACTTCCCAGAATCAATAACTGGGATCACTTCTTACTAAAAAGTTTCTGCATGTCAAAAGAAATCTCTAGCATAGTGAAAAGAAAATCCACAAACTGGGAAAATATCTTAGTGAACTGCCCCTCAGACAAAAGACTTCTGTCTAAAACATATGAAGAATTTAAAAAAATCAGACCCCCAAAATTCAAAGATCCTATCCAAAAATGGGCATCTGAGATGAATACACACTTCTCAGATGAAGAAATACAAATGGCAAATAAATACATGAAAAAATGTTCATCATCATTACTCATTAGAGAAATGCAAATTAAAACCACACTGAGATTTCATCTCACTTCTGAAAGAATGGCAAGGATCAAGAAAAACCACCAACAACAAATGCTGGAGAGGCTGTGGGGAAAAAAGAACTCTCCTGCACTGTTGGTGGGAGTGTAGACTGTTGCAACCATTGTGGAGGTCAGTCTGGAGATTTCTCAAAAAGCTGGGATTGGAAGTCCCATTTATTCCAGCTATTCCACTGATAGGCATATTCCCAGTAGAACTGAAAGCATCATACCACAGTGATAGATGTGCACCAAGTTTATAGCAGATATTGAAAACAACCCAACTGTCCATCAACTGAGGAATGGATAAAAAAAGTTGTGGTATTTTTATACAATGGAGTACTACTCAGCTATAAAGAATAATCACATTGAGATATTTATAAATAAATAGGCGCAGCTTGAGATGATAATGATTTTGAACATGACATCACCAAGCCGTGAGGCAACATTGCAACACCTAACAATAAAGTTGCTTTCTGAAAGCGCCTGCACATTAAAACATGGCAGGCAGAATAAGGTCATTATGCTCACTTTACTCTTACCCTATAGGAAGTAGGATAACACTCTCTCTCTCAAAGGTGACCTCCTCTCAGTCTCTGGAATCTATGAATAAGTCTTGCAGGAGGACAAAGGGAAATTAAGCTTTAATATGGAATTAAGATTACCCAGGAGATTATCCTGGATTATCCTGCTGGCCCAATCAAATCACAGTTCCCCTTACTGGTGAAAAAGGCAACAAAGTATCAGGACTAGGGAGATGACCGCATGAGAAGAGCTGGACTGGCCATAGCTGGCTTCCACCACGGACGCAGA